ACTGATTGGCTCCTCCCCTTCTCTCAGATGGGAGTTACTGATTGGCTCCTCCCCTTCTCTCAGATGGGAGTTACTGATTGGCTCCTCCCCTTCTCCCCACAGTACTTCAACAAGAGGAAAACCTACTTCGCTCACGACGCCCTCCAGCAGTGCAGCGTCGGGGACATCGTGCTCCTCAGAGCTCTGCCCGTCGCGCGATCCAAGCACGTGAAACACGAACTGGCCGAGATCATTTTCAAAGTCGGCCGAGTTATCGACCCCATCACAGGGAAGCCCTGTGCAGGAACCACCTACCTAGAGAGCCCGCTCAATTCCGAACCCACTGACCTAAGCAAGACTCTGGAAGAACTCAAGATCACTTCCACCTAGGACAGGAGCCGCCAAAGGGATCGCTGTCTGTGTGGCTCCTGCAGGCTTCCATTAGTAACCGTCCAGTTTCTTTTGTGACGTTGATGAAATAGTAAAAGCAAATGAAGCCAAGTACTGACAGGGTCCCAGAGGTTTGTGTTGTGTTTCCGATTCTCGGCACTGAACAGACTTTCAGATTATGTTGCATGCCCAAGTATGCCGCATTGTTTTGTTTGTTTTGCCCTTGTTTTTTGTTCACAGAAATCTTAGGGTTGGTACCTTTATTTTGAAAGAAGAAAACCTTTTGATAAGAACACATAAGGTGCCCAACCATGGTGGCGCACGCCTTTAGTCCCAGCACCCGGGAGGCAGAGGCAGGCAGAACTCTGTGAGTTCAAGGCCAGCCTGGTCTACAGAGTGAGTTCCAGAACAGCCAGGGCGACACCAGAGAAACCCTGTCTCGAAAAAACAAAACTAACAAAAAGAACACATAAGGCCACACTCTATACTTGTGATAGTTTTTTTTTTTTTTTAATTTATTGTATGTGTGTCCATGGTGCGTGTGTGTGTTCACATACATGTACCACAGCACACCGGACAGAGGACAGCTTCGTGGAGTCAGTTCTCTCCTCCCACTTTTACATGTCCCAGCGATCACCCTCAAGTTGTCAGGGTCGCATGGCTAGTGAGTACCTTTACCCACGGGGGCCGTCATCCTGCTGGCACCAAGTTTTAACAGCTTATATTCAAAGTGAATTTAATTATTTTCTTTGATTTCACCAGTTTCCAAAGGGGGAACTTTGTCCGGTTGAGCTGTATTTATAAGAATAGCATCGACAGGCTGGAGACATGGCTCAGAGGTTAAGAGCACTGCTTGCTCTTCCCAAGGCCCTAAGTTCAATTTCCAGCAACCACATGGTGGCTCACAACCATCTGTAATGAGATCTGGTGCCCTCTTCTGGCCTGCAGGGATGATATGTGCAGATAGAACACTTACATAATAAATAAATCTTTTTTTTTTTTTTTTTTAAAAAAAGGATAGCATTGACATGTAAAAAAATAAGATTTATAAGATTCGGAGTCTTTTACATCCTAGGCTATATGAGATCTTAAGATCTGATAAACAATTACTTGTAGCACTCTCATTGGGGAGTTGTTTTGCTTGAGAATGGGTCTCACATTTCAATCCAGGTTGGCCTCGAACTCACAGCAATCCTCGTCAGTTCCCTGAGTGCTGGCATTACAGGTGTGAGCCGCTGTGCCTGAGAAGTTGTAGAACTCTATATGCATTTGAGGTGGAAGTTTCTGGGTTGATCTTCATTAGCGTGATAACTGACACACACACACACAAGTTTCTGGGTTGATCTTCATTAGCGTGATAACTGACACACACACACACACACACACACGCACGCATGCACACATGCATGCACACACACACATATTAAGTGCTATAACTTAGTTTTTGTTTTATTGCAGAAACTTTGGCCTATGAATTTCAGTTTTCTAGCTCCTAGAAAGAGACCTAGGGTATATTTCAATTTCAGCTAATATGTATGATATATGTGTGATTCTTTGGTTTTTGTTTGTTTTGTTGTTTGGAGATAGTGTCTCAGTTTATAGCCCAGATGTGCCTGGAATTTACAGTCATCCTACCTCAAGCTCCTGGGTACCTGGGATGAACAGATGTATGCCACCAGGCATAGCTTACTTATGAGAAGGTATCAGTGATGAGCACAGTGATGGGACACCAGGCTCACAAAGTGGGGAGGGGTGCATAGGTACCCTTCTGACAAATAGGACCCGTGGAAGGTAAGTGGCGAGAGACCAATTAACTTACTGAGAGAAATGGGGCAGTACTAGACCTAAATTTTGAAGTCCGCAGCCTAGTCAATAAGGGGTATGAAGGAGACATTTCATACAGAGGAAGAAGTGTAAAGTCCTAAGTAAAAATATGACCAGTGTGGCAGGAGAGATGGTTCGTTCCATGGTTAGAAACACTGGCTGCTTTTGCAAAGCTGTTAGGTCCAATTCCAGAGGATCTGGCGCCCTCTTCTGGCCTCCATGAGCACTGCATGCATGTGGTGCACAGGCATCCATGCAAACAAACTTTTTTAAACATAACCAGGAGTTCTTAAAGCCGAAGAAGATTGCTGGTACATTTTGAACATGGGTAGACTTCAGAGAAATAGGATAATAGATTATTTAAGGTTTTTCAAGGAAAATGATGGTATTTGACTGCAAAGGTAAATAGCATCGGTGTAGAGAACAGGGTAGAATAAGACAAAAGGCTAGGAAACTGACTTTAAAAGACTAATCCTGCTGAGCGGTGGTGGCACACGCCTTTAATCCCAGCACTCGGGAGGCAGAGGCAGGCGGATCTCGGTGAGTTCCAGGACAGCCAGGGCTACACAGAGAGACCCTGTCTAAGGGTGGAGAGGTAATGGGGGGAGGAGGGGAGACTGATCTTAAAACCTAAACCTTGTACAGAGAGGTGGGATGGTTTGTTCTTAAGGAAAACTCTTGGCTTGGTGCCAAGGTCGAGACGGAAGGGATAAATCTTTTGGAACAGTGGTTCCTAATGCTGCGATCCTTTAATACAATTCCGGGTACCTGTATGTGAGCAGACCCGCCTGGAGAGGATAGAGAAGCGGCGTCTCAGTTCCTAAGACCCCCCCCTTTGGGGCCCGCGACCCACAAGTTGAGAACCACTGTTTTAGACTGTCTCTGGCAGGTATAGCTGTGTGGTCCTCTCAGCACATGACTGGCACCTCTCAGGCCAGTCAGGTCTCCAGCTCCAAGCATCCGCAAAATACTTGAGAAGTGGATATGCACACTGATGTACAGTTTTTATTAATTTCTTGGGCTTGCGGTGCAACTCAGTGGTGGGGTGTAACTCAGTGGTGGAGTACTGGCCTGGCAAGCACAAGGTTGCAGGGAGGAACTTCCTGACGGTGCACACCTACAATCTTGCCCCCTTCCCACCAAGGCTGACCACCCGAGTTCCATTCCTGGGACCCACATGGTGAAAGGAAAGAGCAGAGGTTCTTCCTCCAGCCTTCACATGCCTGACATGGTCCAAGTGCCGCACACGTGCACAAGCACATAGATGTAATTTATAACTTGAATTTAAAAGTTTTAATTAGGCTTCCGGAGGACTCCTGTAATGAGGATGAGGGGCCTGAAGGTGCACGAAGGGCATCCAAGGGGTCGACATACTTGAGTTATAGGCCAGCCAAGGCTACATAGTGAGAACCTGTCAAAGGGGGGGGGGAGAAAGAAAAAGAAAGGGAGAGAGAGAGAGAAGGAAGGAAGGAAAGAAAGAAAGGAAGGAAGAAAGAAAGAAAGAAAATTATCCCGAAAGAGAGAGAGAGAAAGAAAGAAAAAGGAAAGAAAGAGAGAGAGAAAGAAAGAAAGAAAGAAAATTATCCCTTAACAGTGTTTCTCAACCTTCCTAATGCTGCAGCTTTTAATACAGTTTCTGGAACTCATTCGGGCGGACTCGTCTGGAGATGGATAGAGGAGCCGTATCTCAGTTCCTAAGTCCATTGGAAACAGGTATTTTCTGGTGGTCTTAGGCGACCCCTTTGAGGGTCACGCCCCACATGTTGAGAACCACTAGGGCCTAGAGCCACAGGTGGTGGTGGTAGACACCTGTAACCCAGCACTCAGGAGGCGGAGGCAGAGAATGGCAAGTTAGAGACAAGCCTAGGCAATTTAGTAGACCCTCCTTCAAAACTAGATACAGCTCACTGGTAGAGCACTTGCCTAGAACCATCGCCAGTTGGGATGGTTCTCCCATTGGGAGGGGAAGGGTGGAGAAGAGCACTGGACTAAAGAACTAATGAAGAGCAAATAGGGGCAAAAATACAGACTAATTGGTCTAACACCAAGTAAAACAAAAGCAGAGCCAGCAAAGAAAGGCGTAAGTGCCGGGCTGCATTCCAACAGAGATCCAGGTGGAAGCAGGGGGTTGAGAGTTTGAGACCAGCCTGAACTGTGTAGTGAGGGCCGGTTCAGATAAACATAAGTAAACTGGGTTTGGTGACTGCCGCATATAACCCTCAGGCAAGAGGATTGCTGTCGGAACACAGCCCGGGAACGGAGACATTCGAGGGGAATTCCGAAGGCTCTAAGAAAACAAGGAGTCTTGTGACCTCAGTTCCTTGTGAGTTGACTCCGGACCAGACACGGTTGCTTGCTGCTGTTATTGTTTGTATGCCTCGACGGAAGACCCTGGTTTTGCCACGTGTGTCTTGTCCCTGTGATGGTACACTCACATGACTCTTCTCAGCCTGCAGAGTATCAACTGCCCGATTGATGCTCTGAGTAAAGCTGGCTAGCGCGTGAGACTTCAGTCTGCCTCATGTTTCAAGCTCCGTTCTCCCAAGTTCAACCACCACAAGAGCGGTCAACAAATGACCACAAATTTGAGGCCAGGCTGGGCTACCCAGCAACACCCTGTCTCAGAGACGTTAAGAAATCGAGGCTCTGTGCAAGAAACATGGGGCCCACCCGCTCTTAAGGAGGTCCTGCCCCAGCAAGACTCATGTCTGCCTGCCTGCCACAGTCGGGTCTACCGTTGTATGGGATTCCCTCAGCCTTCTTCCCACTCAGAGGAACAAGATGCTCCTTACTAGATTAGCATGCTCAAATTCTGCTTGTTAGAAAACTATATCCATGGGGCTGGAGAGATGGCTCCGTGGTTAAGAGCACCAGCTGCTCTTCCAGGGGTCAATTCCCAGCACCCACATGGTGGCTCACAACTGTCTGTAGCTCTAGTTCCAAAAGTCCACCACAGACATAAATGCAGGTGAAACACCAATGCATATTTAAAAAAAAAAGAAAAGAAAAAGAAAACTGCACCCTTTGAGCATCAAGATTACAGGTTGTAGAGAACCAGCTCCCACCCCTCCTCTTACCCAGAACCATGCAGGCGGCCACTGGACAGTGTCTTCCTCTTGGCCTCCGCAGCCTGGCCCCAGCCTCTGAAGGTAGCTGAGTCCCAGGCTGCTCTGCGTTCCTCTGATCCGTTTGGCTCTCGACCTGGTTTCGCCGACTCTTGTCTTGTTGAAGTTTTCATGGTTATATCCGTAGCTCTTTTATGATCCTTACAGAGTCTATTTTCCCCGCCACAGCGGTTCTTAACCTTCCTAACACTGCGACCCTTTAACGCAGTTGTGGTGACCCCCAGCCATGGAATTATTTTCATGGCTGTTTCATTAACTGTGATTCTGCTACTGTTACGAATCACAATGTAAATATCCGATATGCAGATAGTTAGGTGACTCCTGTTAAAGGGGTTCGGCCACTGAGGGGGTCACGACCCACAGGTTGAGAACTACTGTACTGTGTTCACCCAGATCCATGCCTTTTAGGTTGACCCTGCTTTCACAGACAGACTCCTTCCCTTGGCAGTGAACTGTTCCTTCTGCACTTCTGAGAGCTCTTTCTTGACCCATCCAACACCACCTCACCCTCGTTATTTCATGATTCCCCCTTCCACGCTGACTTCCCATCCTATGAAACTCTCCATTTTACCTCTTCAGACTGATCTAATCACATCACTAGACAGGGACTCCCCGAGGTCCGCATCCAATGGATACTTAAATGAATAGTTCCCAGACGACAAGAGTTTAGGTATCTGCCCACCCAGAGGGCATTTAGAAAGTGTGACTTCTAAACTGGGTGGTGGTGGCGGCGGCGGCGCACGACTTTAATCCCAGCACTCGGGAGGCAGAGGCAGGTGGAGCTCTGTGAGTTCAAGGCCAGCCTAGTACAGAGTGAATTCCAGGACAGGCTCCAAAGCTACACAGAGAAACCCTGTCTTGAAAACAAAATGTTACTTATAGCTGGATGGGTAATACACACCTCTAACCTCAGCATTTGGGAGGCTGAATCAGGTATTGCTGCAAGTTTGAGGCCAGCCTGGGCTACCTAAGAATTCTGGCCAGCCTAGACTACAGTGTGAAACCCTGTCTAAAAAGTGGCGGGGAGACAATGGTACATGTTTATGATCTCAACTCTTGAACACTGGGGTCAAGAGGATCAGGAATTGAAGGTCATCCTCGGCTATGCAGTTTGGGGCCAGTCTGAACTACATGAGACACAGTCTAAAAAGAAAAAGAAAAAAGGAGAAAACTTAAAAAAAAAAAAAAAAAAAAAAAAAAAAGAAAAAAAGCTTGCACTGAATAAACCAAGCATGGTGAAACATGCCTCTATAGTCCCAGCGCTCAGGAAGTGGAGGCAGGGAGCTAAAACCTTTAAGGTGCTCCTCCTCTACACC